TTGAATCAGAGTGATTTTTTACGAAGTACGATTTATCCAGACAAGAAACTTGTATCTCCGTAGGCCATCCTTTTTCATGAAACAAAGCATGACCAACTCTTTCAATTTTTCTTTTAGCTTGGAATGGGGAATACTTGTGTAAAGTGTAGAAAAGTAAATGTTTTAATATTATTGCAAGAGGAAAGTGTCTTAGATTGTATGTACTCTAAAAGATGTTTGGATTTTTTTAGTATCCACATCTGATTCACGCCACTTCTAGAAAAGGTAGTTTCACAATAACTTTGAAACCCGGCTTTGGATTGCTGATAAAATTGATGTTAATAATTTAGAAAGTTTCGTGGAGCATTTGGAAGACCCAACAATATAACGTTGTTTGTAAGGGCACTTATGTAGTTTAGGTATCCAATACAGTGAAGAAAGATCCAGTTCTTCATCTTTGGTTGAAATTCCAAAGGACCTATGATTATCCAGGATTTTCTCCTTGGTAAGTGTCGTTGGGGGTATATGTTGAGTTTCCAAGTGGATTGTCAATATTAGTACCTAATTCATGTATCAAGTAGTTTATGTAATGTGATTTACACACAAAAACGATGTTGTTTGGGGATTTATCTGCGGGGACAATAACACATTTGTCATATTTGTCATGGAAGTAGAACAGGTGTTTTGCCAAATTTGGGTCTTTAAAGATTGATGTAGCATAGGTATTCATAGACCCATTCAGTTTTTTAATTCTGATTTGTATCATTGCCTGGCATAATCATCGACTGAATCCATCAGTATTTTGAAGTTGTGTTTCCAATTGATGGATTTAGGCTCACGATATTTCGGGCCTTTGGTCAGGTTATCTGGACTATGTAATGTTTGTTGATGTTTTTGTGTCTTTTATTTCCAGAGGGATCAGGTGGTTGGTCTGTTCCAATTTTTTTTCTAATTCCTGTTATTCTTTATATGTATTATTCTTTAATTAATTTGTATTCCGATAGCTATCATTCAGATAAAAAAATAATTATCTTACCACTTTTGTCCATATCTGTTGTACGATATTGTTATTTCACTAGTAATGTTGCAATAAAGCCAAGATTTATTTATTGTGGAAATAGAGATCTATAGAAATAGGTCATAGCAATTACAGATTCATATTACGTCTCAAATTGGAGAAAAATATGATAAAAGGAATATGGCTAAATGTGATTGAAGTTCATTAGATAGTATATACACTGATGACAGATTTATTCAGCTTAGTTTACAAATCTTGTCCTGCAATCGACCAATTTAATATATATCAGATAGTCCAGTTATCGCTAGGGCGTGTGTGTTTACATATGCTTGACATGTCTGATTAAGATTCAGAAATATCTTAACTCGCGTGCTCGTATATTTAAGGATAACGAAATCAGTGATCCATATTTTAATTAGATTGATACTTGACTCGACGTCGTACTCCATCTCCATGTATCTACAAGTGGAATTATCGGTACTGAATCGGCTTTATAACAACCAACATACAATTTATTTTAACCTTTTTCGTAGAAAAAAAGATTTTTAGATGAAAAGATACAAAAATAATATCTGCTAAGAGTTAATGATCTCGACTTAAATTTGAAACTCTGTAGGAAATACGTAGAAATGTTTAGCAACTCTCAGATTTCATTCCAAGAAATTTAACAGATATTTTCTATACATTTATAGCATATACTAATCACAGCTGCAGATACTCCAATGATTTTTAAAGCTTTTTTATTCAGTGCTAAAAAGAATTCCTCAAGTCATAATTTAGAAACACAGTTCGAACGCAATAAACTATCCTAGTATTAACGCTACACCGGAAAGCGTAAAAAGAAAGTCAGTTATGATAAATGATTTATAACGAGTAACAGGAAGTCAGCAATCTTTTGCCGATATTGAACTGAAGACGTTTGCTTTATATGATTCAAATACACAGAAAAGCAATATGTCTATTTCTTATTACTTACAGGCAAATTGAACGATTTTTTATTTATTTATTTCAGCGTTAATTTAAAGAAGTTTTATTAACACTTAATAGTTTTAAACAAAACATGTATTTTTAATGTTTATGTTTTGAATGGGTTGGCCACAAAGCTTATGATAAATATTTCAGAGAAGTAAATCATATTCATGCAATGTTTATTGTTCCTTATTCTAATCATCTAGCCAAATAAAAAGACAATTATTTAATGCATATTCAGACGAACCAGTTTAAAAGCTACTAATCAGTCAAAAATCAATACGAATAAGGAAAACGATTTAACGAACTCTAAAGTTAATGCATATTTCTGAATTCACATTTATCAGGAACACTAGGAGAAACAGAAGTAAAAATACATCGGAGAGAATATACTCTAACTACGAGAAACAGACGTAAAAATACATCGGAGCGTATATAATCTAAGTTAACTACTAGAAACAGACGTAAAAATACATCGGAAAGTATATAATCTAACTACGAGAAACAGAAATAAAATACATCGGAGAGAATATAATCTAACTACGAGAAACAGAAGTAAAATACATCGGAGAGTATATAAACTTTCTACGGGAAACGGACGTAAAAATACATCGGAGAGTATATAATCTAACTACTAGAAACAGACGTAAAAATAAATCGGAGAGTAAATAATCTAACTACGAGAAACAGAAGTAAAATACATCGAAGTGTATATAAAATAACTACTAGAAACAGACGGAGAGTAAATAATCTAACTATGAGAAACAGAAGTAAAATACATCGGAGAGTTTATAATCTAACTACGAGAAAAAGAAGTAAAATACATCGCAGAGTATATCATTTAACTACGAGAAACAGAAGTAAAATACATCGGAGAGAATATAATCCAACTACGAGAAACAGACGTAAAAATACATCGGAAAGTATACAATCTAACTACGAGAACCAGACGTTAAATGCATCGGAGAGTATACAATCTAACTACGAGAAACAGAAGTAAAACACATCGGAGAATATATAATCTAACAACGAGAAACAGACGTAAAAATACATCGGAGAGTATATAATCTAACTACGATAAAAAGAAGTAAAATACATCGGAGAGTATATAATCTAACTACGAGAAACAGAAGTAAAATACATCGGAGAGAATATAATCTAACTACGAGAAACAGACGTAAAAATACATCGGAGAGTATATAATTTAACTACGAGAAACAGACGTAAAAATACATCGGAGAGTATATAATCTAACTACGAGAAACAGAAGTAAAATAAATCGGAGAGTATACAATCTAACTACGAGAAACAGAAGTAAAATACATCGGAGAGTATTTTATCTAACTACGAGAAACAGACGTTAAATAGGTCGGAGAGTATATAAACTATCTGCGAGAAACAGACGTAAAATACATCGGAGAGAATATAATCTAACTACAAGAAACAGAAGTAAATCACATCGGAGAGTATATAATCTAACTACGAGAAACAGACGTAAAAAACATCGGAGTATATAATCTAACTACGAGAAACAGACGTAAAAATACATCGGAGAGTATATAATCTAACTACGAGAAACAGAAGTTAAATACATCGGAGAGTATATAATATAACTACGAGAAACAGAAGTAAAATACATCGGAGAGTATATAATCTAACTACGAGAAACAGACGTTAAATAGGTCGGAGAGTACATAATCTAACTCCGAGAAATAGACGTAAATATACAGTATATGCAATAAAACCATTACTACATCATCCACTGAGTAAATTTTTAATGACAATTGACGTTCACCGCCCATGTTAGGACATAGTATTTATGGTCATGATTGCCTGAGATATATGTATCTTAATTGGGCATGTATATATGTATAATACTAATTGAATTTTAACTGTACACAAATGTGAACAAGTGTCAGAGCTGTTGTTTTGCAAAACCTTTCAAAACTGTTGGTCCTCAATGCTCTTCAATTTCGTACTTTATTTGGCCTTTTTAACTTTTTTGATTCGAGCGTCACTGATGAGTCTTATGTAGACGAAACGCGCGTCTGGCGTACAAAATTTTAATACTGGTATCTATGATGAGTTTACTAACTGAACTGTCTGCACCTATTTGTACAGATATTTATATTTTAGAATCGGCTCCCATATCTAGTTTAAGTAAAATGAAAAAAAAATTGTTATCAATTGCGCCTTATAAAACCGTGTTTATTCATCCTAAACAATTGTAATAAAATTAAGATAAAAAGGAAATTTGTATTAAACTGGCTAATGAATGTGTCGCCTTTATGAAATATTAGAACGGTCATGGTGTAATTAATTTGGGGTTGAATAGCATAGGATATTATTTTTCGTGCTTGGAATTTTACAACGCAAGATTGTTACAGGTTCAGTACAACAAAACTCGCGTGAAGCTTCAGTTCAGAAGTTCAATCTATATGTATAATGGCTAAATTTGCGGTTTCTCTTGATAGAAAATACAGGTTGTGCAGTATTGTAGAAACTATATTCTCCATATGTAGATTCTACTGGGATAATGATAAATTGGAAAAGAAAGTTCACATTAGGAAAATTGAATTCATATTGTAAAATATCAGCAGCGAGTCAATAAAAGGAAAATTTTTGGACAAGTGAAAAATGTGTGCATAGATTCACATGAAACAACTACCCTAAGAAATACTATCAATACGAATAACATTTTATTGATTCTCTTCATCTTAATATGATCAATTACTAAAGCTTTGCAAAATTGTTCTTTTTTTCTCAGTTTTCTGAATCGACACGTCCGCACTATCATGATTTAATTAAAACATATAACAGGTACTTTAAATCTAAATATACTGGGAAATTAAAAAAATATATATATCATATGAAAAAAATACCCTCAATGTAGGATCATCTCATAAATATAGAATATCATTACTTATGCATTGTATAATATGAGTTGTTGCTATGTCAATTTCAGGGTTGGTACAAAATAATCTTAATTTTAGATCAGGATTTGTTATATTATTTGCGTTACGTTTTTTTCCAGATTATTTGAAACCCACCCTGATGTACAGGAAGTTTTTATGCCTTTCAAAGGAATGACAAAGGAAGACTTGCAATACAGCAATCAACTGAAAACACATGCTTTACGGGTGATGGGGACTGTCGATAAATGCCTTGCTAGAATCGATGACAAAAAAAAAGTTCAAGAAATGCTCCATGATTTAGGCTCTAGACACGCTATGTACAATGCCAAAGTAGACTACATTGATGTAAGTATCTTAAAATGAGTAACAATTCTAGTTATTCTTGGAATACTTGACATATATGAGTAAATTTGAAATAAAAGAAAAAAAAATAAACTTATTTGCTATGCTGAGGAGGAAGTCCATAAAACATGACAAAATCAAACGCTCGAATATTTCAAACTCTCGACTATATCAACTAAACGGATCAAATGGACAACAACTGTCATATTCCTGACATGGTACCGTCATTTCCGAAGAAAATGACGAATTAAACCTGTTTTTATAGCTAGCTAAACCTCCACCTTGTATGACAGTTGTTTACAGTAATCTATTAAATTCAATACTGATGACTCACACTTCAAGTTATTACTGTATTTTTCTTAAGAATTGAAATTGCTTCAACTACTATTGACTTGTGTTAGATAAAATACAATAATTTATAATATTCAGATTAATGTAATATACCTGGACAAATTTTAATTGCACACTATAGTATTTCCGAGTTATAGGCTATAAACCGGTGTAGACTAGAATGTATACAAATAAAAATATGTGATATGACTGCCAACTCTCCACCAGAGACTAAATGACATACCCATGGCGGCTTTTAACAACTTTGCTGGCGCCAAACCCCTCTAGCCAGGGAAATATGTGAAACTGTACAACATTAGAACAAAGTTTACTATACAAAACCTCAGATCCAAAGAAAGAACAACAAAAAAACTAACAAAAACACGAAAAACACTAAGTATATATCTGGGAGTACTCGAGGTTACTGAAATCTAGTTCAAAGTCGATAACAACTATACAAAAATCATGTATCTTAGACTAAAAAATCAATCAGTACACATTCAACATCCAATGGATTTAGTGTGTTTATTGCTCTAATATTAGTAAAATACTTAACGCTAAGTTTTACCGCAAAAGGAACATACACAATTTGATTTGTCTACAGGTATTTATTTATCGTAATAATAATTATGATTACAAATTATTCTTGATATTATAGGTTTATTATATTTGATAGGATCATGAAACAAAACCCCTTTAAACATGTTGTATTAATATTTTGCTAGTGCATTTCCCACAACACGAGGCATCTGATCAATAAAGTGTTTCCTTTTGGACGGGACATGACGTATTTATACAACCAGTTCAGTCGAAATGACGCCCCAAGTATGGGTGCTACTGCCGGGACTGAGAATACCGAGTAACCATATTTATACGCCCTTACAAAATTTAGGTTAAGTCTAGGTTACATGTACATACATGTATATCAAGCGCAAAATAGTCCGTGTTAAGTCACTGACACGTTTTTTTATAAAGAGTTATATCGAAGTTCGGTTCGATTATTAGATAAATTTATTGTCTAAAGGCATGAATACGTTTTAACCAGTTTTGAAAACTCCAGTTTCGGTTTTTATGTCCCAAACACTGATACATATATGTATCAAATCTCAGTTGACGATGGCAACATTTTGAGTACAGTACTGCTATCCCATTTTTATTCAATGGTCGTTAAGTATTCAAAATTTAAACATTGAAATACTGCGAAAAGATTAACAAAGATTGCACAACGTTGTTGCCAATAATTCCGACCGTCACCTGTGGAATTGACGACAGACATCATCAAATCAAATTTGGCGTTACATATCCTATAAATGCAATTAGATTATTTTTTTAACAATTAGCGTATTAAAAAAAAAATAAAAAAATATTGTAATCTTGTTTATTGAAAATATTATTTTTCAGTTGATAGGCCCGCAGTTTATATGGGCAATACAACCAGCTTTGAAAGAACAATGGAATAGTGAAGTTGAAGAGGCGTGGTCAGATTTGTTTAAATTGATATCGCAGCTTATGAAAACAGCAATGACATTTTAGAAAGTTATATTTTATTTACAAAGACGTTCCGAAATATTTCAATGCGTTAATGTACTGGTCATAATCAGTTATTTTTTTAAAACACGAATTTCAAATTACTAAGTAAGGAAATTGACAATCATTGCCAGTTGACCTAATAACGTCAACAAACAATCGATTTTAATTTTGACGTCAATGTGTCATTTACCAGCTTCACACAATCGGATAACTTTAATATTTCCTGAAATGGCAGACGAATTTAAAATGCATTAAGATATTACACTGGATAACGTAGCATACACTCTATCAATAAAAGATACTTGGCTTAATGATTATAAAATTTGATCAACAACTTAAATGCTTATAATACCAAGATACTTGTGGTAGACATTAATTATCCATGAAATCTGCCGAAGAAATATGACTGATCATGATTAATATTTGATACAGTGAACATCTCACTACAAAATCATTCATACTCAATATCAAAATGTACCTCTATAATACGAGTTTGTGTTTAAGTATTTTGTTCGTACACATTTTACTATTAAAAATTAACTTTTGCATGATCTCAATTGTATATTAGTTTCAATTAGCCATGGTTATTACTTAGCTTCTATTGTCTTTCGTATTCTTCTACACATCTCCAAATTTCTACTTAAAGAAGTGCCTCTTTTACGGAAGGGTTTTTGATAAGGGCGTTCTTATTAATAAAGTGCGTTGACAAATAAAATGATTCCTGCTGTAAATGCGTCACTCGATTTATTAAACTAAAGAGGTCGTCTAGTTATCCCCCGATCGCAGCAATTGATAAATCATGATTTTGTTTAGTGGTCCAAAACATTCCATTCAAATTTCAATCAATTTCAAAGAGGGGTTGTATATTTATTATCCAGAAACTTTTTTAATTTTTCAAACAATCATGTACCATAACTCTAATGAAATAAAAACGACAAAAAATCAAGTTTAATCTGTGTAAAGAGGTCCAAAAATTTGCAGTAAAATTTCAAACAATTTCATATAAGGGTTCTCCATTTATTATCCAGAAACCACAAAATTTATGATTTTTCCAACAATCAAGTACTATAACTCTGGGACGGTAAAAAGCAATAATCAGGAATCAAACTGAACCTGTGATTTGTGGTCCAAAGCATTTCTATCATTATCCAATCAATTTAATATAGGTTTTCTCTATTTTGGATCAGGAAACCAAAACATTGGAATTTTTCCAACAATCAAGTGCCTTAACCCTGGAACAGTAACAGTAAAAACGACGTAAAATACAACTTCAACTGTTTTTAGTGGTTCAAAACATTACATCAAAATTTTAATCATTTTCATCAAAAATTGGTTTTCCTTTTACTATCTGAAAACCAAATTTTATTCCCAACAATCAAATACCATAAGTTTTGAACAGTAAAAGTCTAAAAAAAAATGAAATTCGAACAATTTCAATCAATTTGATAAATGAATTTTTGAACAGTCACGTAATATAAGTCTAGAACGGTAAAAGTGATAAAAATGAAAATCAAATTTAACCTGTCTTTGGTGGTCCAAAACATTCAATAAAAAGCTCAACCAATTTCAAAAAGGGGTTCTCCATTTATTATTGCCAAAAAAAAAGAAATTAAAAAAGTAACACAACTCTGGGATGGTTCAAAAGTGAAAACAACGAAAATCGAACTTAACATGTCTTTATAGCTCCAAAACATGCCATAAAAAGTTCAATCAATTTCAAACAGATGTTCACCTCTTTTTTTTATCCGGAAACCAAAACATTTAGAATTTTTCAAACAATCAAGTATCATAACTCTAGAACGATAAAAGAGAAAAAGACAAACATTGAAACTATACTATATTAAAATTTAAATTAATTTAAAAAAGCGGTTCTCTCTTTGTCATCTGAAAATCAAAAGTGTTACGGACGGACATGACGTTTAATATATATCCAGACTGTGTCCCGACAAGCAGGGGTATAAACATATCAAAATAGGGAAAAGGTTATGATCGGAAAAATTACAGATCAGAAGATTATTCTTGTGTTTAAGATCTCTCGAAAAACGTCTCTCATTAACAAACACATCGTATCAATTAACTAATCCGTGAAGGCGACCGTAAAACTTGCGTAGTATCCTTCTTCCCCATGACCAATTCCGATATAAGAGTGTATGCCGGAATGATTAACATCAGAAGGTTGAATTAAGAACTGGTTGTCAGATACATTGAGGATTCTTTTATACGGTATAATGTAATATTCCTTTGATCGAAGCTGTGTTATTGTTCCCTTATTGGAGTTTTCAAAGATCAAGTTTAGCCCGCAAACATGTTCATATACCGTTACTGATCAGCAGTCTCATCAGTTGTTGTATTTGTACTATCTTTTTACTTAAGCGTAAGAAAGTCTTGGGTTATCTATTACGATGTTATTTTCGTTGCGTATCAAGTAATATCCTGCAAATAGTGACCTGTAATAGCTTTTATCTTCGTCATTTGACTAGGTTACAGGCATTTCCTTATGTCAAAAATGGTGGATAAAACCTGGTTTTTGTAGCTAGCTAAAACTCTCACTTGTATGACAGTCGCATAGAATTCCATTATATCGACAACAATGTGCGTTCAAAATTACAATAGAGAATTGTAAGTACATTTTGAATGGTTAAGAAAAATTGGAACGAGCAAAGCAATTAAATCTTATTTTATATGCTATAGCTGGCTTAGAATGTTACCTGAACTTCTGTTAGTCGATTTTAGCGCGTAGATAACGAGTAACGTAAAGAGCACAGCTCAAGATATACAAGTTAGTGGTCATCCTGCTGGAAACTGGACTGTGCGAGATTTTTTTTTATTGTGTAGAGTGCTTTTCAGACTCATGATCTATATAGACAAAAGCGCAGGTTTGTGCGCATATAACACTGGTTTAACATGACTTCATTTTGTGTCTGTGCCAATTCAGGCTATCTGGACCATGTGCTGTTCGTTTTTGTTTGTCTTTGTAAGTCTATTTTCTCAGAGGAGTCGGTTGTGGTCTGGTGATCCTATTTTCCTTTTATGCATTACACTGAAGTAAGCATGTGTACACATGTGAATTAAAAGTAAGAAAAGTGGAAGGCCAGCTGTTAGGTAGTTTCTACACATGCATGCAATGTAAGAAATAGAGAAGTGCTGTACAGTTTTAACAACTCCACCTTTTGAACAATGATGTTTTAATTTCTGTAAAAACTTTTGACAACCACTTTCATCGTTTTACAGAAATGTTAGTGTAAACAATTCTCGATGCTTAAAGATCAAGACACTTAACTTCCGATGAAAACCGTATGTTGACCACTAGATGTATTTTGGTTTTTATGTATTATTGGGTTGCATTATGACTGAAGTGTACCGTAAATCTCCCTTCATTCATACATTTCATATGTGTTTTAATGATTTATAACATAACGTATGTTAGTTTAAGCCAACAAAAAGTCAAAGATAGTTGCCAGATACAGACCTCTTGTTGACGCGAAAAACATCCCAAGGAAAAATCCAATTTGATGTTCAAATATGATAAAAAAAAAAAGAGAAGCGAAAGATACCAAAGAGACATTCAAGCTCATAAGTCGAAAATAAACTGACAACGCCATTGGCAAAAAAAGAAAAAGACCAACCCAAAGACTGAAAAAAAACTCAGAGGTGATCTGGAATAGTAAGCAGATCATACTTCACATGTGGCACCCGTCGTTGTGTTGCTCATGTAAGTACAAACCCGGTGACAAGTCTAAATCGGTAAGTCACACTCGGGGAAATGAAAACGGGATTGAAGATTTGACCATTGGAACATATATAGCGTCATTTGTGAAACAGATATTCCATAACGGTCAATCAACTCGAGATGACATCCGTAAAATTTACGAAGGGATGATCTCAACTTCACCACTTGGAACTCTTGTTTTAATAGCTTTCTTGGGAGCAACAACCCTCTATCAAGAAAATCATGATAAGAAATACAAGAAATCATCTCTAATGTCGTAAAGTTTTGTTTTCAACCGACCCTGATTGTCAATTTCTAGATGTAAGTCAAGATATGAGGCAGACTTAATTGTATCTTTTATCTCAAGTTCGACGGGATAAATGTGTTCAACCTAGTCTGATAACTTTAAATCATTTAGTGAGTAGACATCATCTAAATAGCGGAATGTTAAGTTAAAGGTCTTAGGATAATGCGAAATTCTTTTCTTTCTTCCTACGAAGCTCCTGTATGAAGTAAACCTCATACGAATAAAGGAATAAGACGATAAGAAAAGGGGAACAGTTGGTTCCCTTGGAAATGTCGATTGTTTGTTGAAAAACACGTCCTCTAAACGTTTCAAATATGTTGTCAATCAAAAAATCAAGTATCTTGATAATGATTCAGAGTGATTTTTTACGATTTATCCCCCCTTAAGACAAGATACTTGTATATACGTTGGCTATTCTTTTTTTTTATGAAACACAGCTCTATGTTGGCCATTCTTTTTTTATGAAACAAAGCAGGACCAACTTTTCAATTTGTTTTTTTTTTATTTTGGATTGAGAAATATTTGTGTAGAGTGTTCAGAAGTCAATTGTTTTAATACTATTGCAAAATGAAAGAGTCTTAGATTTTATGTACTTTAATAGATCGTTGGAATGTTTTAGTATCCACATCTGATTCACGCCACCTCTAGAATAGGTAGTTTAACAATAACTTTGAAGCCCGGCTTTGATTGCGGATTAAATTAATGTTAATAATTTAGAAAGAGGTTTCATGGAGCACTTGGAAGACCCATCAATATAACGTTGTTTATAATAAAACTTATTTAATTTAAGTACCCAATACAATGAAGGAGGATCCAGTTCTCCACCTTTGCTTCAAATTCCAAAGGAACACAGAACAGACCTATGATTATTCAGGATTTCCTCCTTGGTAAGTGTCGTGGATTAATATGTTGAATTTTCAAGTGAAATATCAATACCTTATTCATTTATCAAGTAGGTTATGTAATGTGATTTACACACAAAAATGATGTTGTCTTGGGATTTATCTGCGGTGACAACAACATATTTGCAATAGAGGTAGGACAGCAGTTTTGTAACATTTTGGTCTTTAAATATTGATGTAGCATGTGTATTCACTGACCCATTTAGTTTTTTAATTCTGATTTGTATCAACGACCTCACAGCCTTAATTCATTCTAAAAGAGTTGCTACGTCTTCTTTCTTGCGTTTAACCCATTTCCTGGCATAATCCACGACTGAAGTTGTGTTTCCAATTGATGGATTTATGCTCACGATATGTCGGGCCTTTGGAGAACACATTTCGCAAAGAAGTGTTATTGACAATGTTTAGGTCACCTGTAGTAAAAGAGGGACGAAAGATACCAGAGGGATAGTCAAACTCACAGATCGAAAAAAAACTGACAACGCCATGGCCAAAAATAAAAAGACAAACAGACAAATAATAGTACAGATGACACAACATAGAAAACTAAAGACTAAGCAACACGAATCCAACCAAAAACTGGGGGTAATCTCAGGTGCTCCGGAAGGGTAAGCAGATCCTGCTCCACATGTGGCACCC